TAATATTTATTTATTATTAGTAATATTTAAATTTTATTAAAGTTTATTTATAATCAATAGTAATAAGTAATAATTAATATTAATAAGGGTTATAATTGGAAAAACTAACAATAAGCTAATAAAATGCTACTCAAACTAGCATTTCAATAAGCTAACTTATATGCATTCAAACATAGACCTAGATAATAAGCAAGCTTAAGAATGCTTATTTTTGCCAAACAATGCCTTATTAGGACGTTTAGACATCCTATAAAACCAATTTTTATTGAAGTGCATGTAATAAAGGTTTGGTTTTAACTAAGAAACGAAACAACAACAAAGCAAAACTAAACTGAACTGAAGAGGGAAAGGATGGAGGGACAACCATCTGGAAAATTTAATATAGTAGTTGACTAAAGATAATCACGAAGAAAAACTCGTCTGATTTATCAAAATCAAAATAACGTGCAACATAAGTAGTCATGCGAAGTTACCGACAACAACCCAAGAAAACCCATCATTTTCTAATGTCTGAATGCCAGTCTAATCAACACCAAACAACCTAGGTGTAGTCGTTCAGGTAGCTCTCGAGGTACCTTCTCTGTCAGTTAAATGACCTCCCGTTGTTCCCTACGGAATTCATAAAGACAAAGGTCTTACTGCTACGACACAAATTAATACAGTTGTCAAAATAAGATTTGATTTGCTCAACTGTTAATACAGAAAAAACACATTATACGTATTTGAGGAATACAGAAGGGTAATCATGAACACTTTAAAAATTATGATTCTTAAATGGAATCTAATCAACAAATACCAAATCATGAGATCATTCATTGATAATCTAATTATAAATATGTCTGAATAATTATAATGTTCGATATTCCCAAATCTCAACATCAATAAAATACAACTTAATAATTCATTAAACAAATATAATTTTATTCACAAATCATTGGTCAACAAATAAATATTATTTATAATTTTTAACCAAACTTGGTCACGTTTATTAGCTCGTTGATAACTTGCAACTTAAATCAAGAAATTTTACGACATATTAATTATAAATTATTAAACATTTTAATCATTTGTGTTTCAACAAAATTAAGTGTTTTTACCTTGGTCAATATTCAATTTTTGTTGGTGACTAAAAGAAGAAAGAGTTGTGGAATCTTTAGAGAGAATATGTGTAATAACCCTCTTCCTTCATTTTGTTAATTTTATAGGAGTTTGGGGAAAGGGTGTAATTAATTCTTGCAAATCTTCAAGAGTTGGTTCTGTAAATAAGAGAATAAAGGGGAGGAGATCTCTCTCTTGGACTCATTTGGACGATCTCTATTAGTGTGTGTGTGTGTGTGTGTGTGTTTTGAGGGAGAAAAGAAGAAGAAGAGAAATCAATTTCTGGAAGTTCTTGGTGATTTGGAAGGAGAATCAAGAGGAGGATTGATCTTCTTCAAGTATGAACTTCATCCTTCTATTCTAGAACCTTCGTTAATGGAGTTGTGGTTGCTATTTAGGGAAAAACCTAGAGTTTCAATGTGACCGTTGAGTCTAGACTTTAGTTGATGAAAAGCCATTGTTTTTGTGTGATTCTTCATGACTCGGTGGAATAAATCAATCCTTGTGTACTCCTTGGTTGCTAAACTCTTAGTGGAGTTGGTATTCGTTTGGGTTAATCTCCAATTTAGTAGTTGATTTTGGGTTAACCTCCAATTTAGTATTGATTTGGGAAGTTTTCCTTGTTATAATCGAATTGTTGAGTTAGAAATCGTTTTTCAGTGAAGGATTTTGAGGTTCTGGGTTATGGAGATCAGCCTGGACGAAATGGGGAAGACAGCCCGAATAGTGAGCCACGCGGCCTGGCAAGCAGCCTAGGTTGCGGCTCAGGACACGTGAAGGCATGTTTCTCCGCAACTGCGTCCTTCTCGTTTCTCGTTTGGAGTTGCAGTTTGATCCATTGTTATAGGGGTTCATTAGAGGGTTATAATAGAAGACCTTTGGGGATTTTAAGTTGAGTAACACCCTTCTTAACTTGGTTAATTCAGGCATTCGGTTTGGGTTTTCTAGCCATTAGGCTTGGGAAGGAGCACAGAGTAACAGGTGCCTTCACTTACTCTAATGTATAAAACTTAAGATTTGTTCTAAAAGCTGTGAGTAGTGATTATGGTTTGAACCTGGCCTACGTGTGATCTATGTGGGGTGTGTGGGATTGCACAACGGGCGTAGGGTACCTTGAGGTAGTAATACCTCTTGGGAGTTATAATTCACGTGCCTTGGAATCCATTTCTTAAGCACATTGGATATGATCCTTTATGGGTCAATTTGTTGATATTACCACGAAGGGAATGTGACAGGGTTGCTGCAACCGTTGTTCAATATCCTTGTGGTGGTACTGTGCTCCAAATTGGTTGAATATGTATATGTTTCAAATGTTGAGGTATTCCTATCTTTTGATAAAAAGTTGTTGAATAGTTTTAAAGGAATTTACTAGACCTTTTGATCTAACTCTCGTTTTTCAAATAAAAACGATTCTCAGATAGGTACCAGGTGGAGAATGGAATGGATCTAAAGAGAGGTAGGATTTGAGCTAGTGGAGAAGATTTGTCGGCTTAGATTACTTATCTTTAGTTGTAATAATTCTTTACTGTGGTTATTGATGTAATTTTCTCTGCATACATTTGGGATATACTTTGGTTTTTTCCTTGATGTTAAATTTTGCTCATTGCCATTGCTTAATAAGTGTGGGATGATTTAAATATTGGGTTGTTACAATATAATCATTTGTGCAATTAAGTGACCATGGAAACTAAACCATTTTTATACAATTTCAATTGCATCACCATATTATTTTGGGAGACACATGGTCCCCCATGCCACTCACCACCCTTTAATTCATTCAAATTGGTGGTTTTCAAAAGGGTTATTTTGCTTTCATGATATATTGTAAAATGAAATTAATTGTTTGGTAATTATGTACAATGAAATTAAGGCTCTTAATGGTTAAGGGAGTTTTAGGATACAAAATCATTCAGAGGGTTTTAGAACTATTAAGGGACAGATTTTTTTTTTTGTCAAACAAAATTCACATCTTAACAATTCAGAGGTTGCCTCTTAATGGAACTATTAGAGGTAAACAAACAATCCATAACTTTCTAATATGATTCAAGTTTTTAGTTCTTTTAAATAAAATAAATCATAAATATGGTTGTGTTTTTTAAAATTTTACTAAATAAATAATTAAAATTTTAGAAACTGATTAGCTACATTCTTTTAATCTAACAAATTATTTACAATAGGTTCGGAAAATTTTAAGGTAAAAAAAATTAAATTAGTTTTACTGTTTCTAAACCCTACACCATACAAACCTTCACACCCAATGTCATATAAAAGGGAGATATTTTAATAAATGATGAAACATAAAAATATTCTTTAATCAACAATTGTTGTACATTTTTCAAATATGTCAATTTATATCAACATATTTAATGGATAAATCAATTAAATATTTACTAAAAAGGCGATAGTTAATCAAGATATAATCCATATTTATATAAAAATTAAAGACTTATCAAATTTATCTATTAGTATTAAATATTTACCAAACATAACTATTGTAATCTCAAAAGACCATAATGCCCTTATAAATTAAAAATAAAGAAAAACAAATGGATTTATGTGATTGGTTGTTATTATTTATATAGTTTATATAAATTGAGACGGTTTATATTTGTACACTCTTCTTTCTTTCTCTCTCTCTCTCTATATATATTTGTGACAAGAATTTATTAGTTCAAGTTTTGAAGGCAGGAGCATGCCCCGACACAAGATTTGATCTTTGCATGCTTTACGAAATATATCTCGATATCATGTTTTTATGGTGCAATTTTAAACGACTAAAACACAAAGCATATTAGTTTTTCGGGGTTTTTTAAACCTTCAAAACACAACAGGATTGCAAAGTATAATAAATATATCAATATATTATTTAAAAAAATATTAACCTGGATATCCAACCCATTATATGAGTCGACTAATCCCATGATGACCACCTGCTTTGCGGTTGCCCGGTGTCATCTTATTTGAACCTTCATGGCCACAAGAGAATTTTTATTCCTTTTTGGATTCGAACCTGTGACCTTCAGACACTTTTTATATTTTGAAACAAAGCTTGAATCAATCAGACAACCATTGTGGTTACAATATTTTACCTTGACTTCCACCAGCAAAAAACTGAAAAGAATTGTCATGATTAGGGGTGCTCATGGGTTGATCGGATTGATCGGGTTGAATATATTTAAACAACCCAACCCAATGCTGACGGTTTGGAAAAATCTTAACCCAACCCAATCCAACTCGTACGGATTGGTCGGGTTAGTCAGGTTGATACTTTGGTACATTAAAATATTCTTTTAACATTGAATATATTATTTCTCTACTCATAATTTCTTTTTCATCATCAACCATTTAATACAACTTATCTATATTTCTTACATATATTATATTCATTTAATTTTCTCAATTTACATATATATGTTCACAGTTATTGAACATATATGCAAATGAGTTATATAAAGATGTGAATATATTGAAAATATGTATATATGAAAAGCATAAATGATAGTGTAATTGTCTAACATATATATTAATAGAAATTCAACAATCATATTAAATCCAAGAAATAAAAGAATATCGGGTTCATCGGGTTGGGTTGGGTTCAAATAATAGTAACTCAATATCAATCCAATACCTACATTTTAATAATTTTACAACTCGATTAGACATTAAGTTGCTTCGGGTTGGGTAATTTCATGTTAGGTTGGATTATGTTAGGTTGATCGAGTTGGTCGGATTTTTGAACACCCTTAATCATGATGTTGCAATTCAATCATTAGAGTTGCCTTTTTAGTAGTGTAGACTATACGTTACATCTTTAAAAATGGAAGTCGCTCTCTCTATCAACTATCTATTGCACTTTGACTTTTAAACATTTTTTCACCGGATTAAATGATTGTTTATATTATTAATTAATACTCATATATTTTTATTAAACAAATCTAATATTTAAACTCAAATAATTCTACTCTCACTACCTAAGTAGGATTATGATATGTTTAGTTGGTTTTTCATCAAGTCTTGTATCAATGAAGTTATCTGTATAGATTGTGAAAGTTTTTGTTTAAAAGAGTTCTTATAGATCAAAGGAACGTGTTTTTAATTGGGAGGGACATGTTTTCGAAACAATTTTGCTTTCTGCATAAAACTCATCTTAAAAGTTTATTGAATAAGTCACTACCAAACAGTCATGTATAAGATATATAATAGTACTCTAAAATAGTTGGTACATAAATTTTGTAATATATAATTAAATAAATATCATAAACGAGCCTGGTTAATGGGTTACTCACAATAAAATTTAATTAACCAAGAAAAATAGAAAATGATTTTAGTTTTATTTATAAATCGAGTGTATGAACTCGTAAATCTCTTAAATATGGAAGAAAAGCGTAAATTTAATGAGAATATGACTTGAAATCGTTCTAAGAGTATGTCAAGCAAATTTTTTAAAATTGAGAAAATATAGATTTTTTTTAAAGATTTTGGACGTGTTTTTTTTATAGATTTTTTTGATGTCATTCTCTATTTTAGAGAATCTGTTGAAGATGTTCTAAGGGTTGTTTGTTTACCTTTTAATAGTTCGTTTAAGAGACAACATCTGAATCATAAGAGGTGAATCTTGCTGTAAAAAAAAAGTCTTCTGAATGATTTTGTATCATGAGTCTCTCTTAACCACTAAGCGCCATGATTTAATTGTAAACAATTACCAAACAATTATATTTCATTTTGCTATCATGGCAGTCTCTTAATTATTTTGACAACTTAATTATTCTGTATCAAACCATTCAGCAACTATTAAACTACCTCAAAACTGACGTAATCAAATATTACCCAAAAAGAAGAAATATGGAATCTTGAAATAAATACAAGGGCTAAAAAGCATACCAAATGATATATGTATGGTCAAGCATTGTGGTCAAAAAGCATACCAAATGATATATGTATGGTCAAGCATTGGGATCCGGTTGTTGCCCTTAAAACGCGTTTTCGCCAACTCTTCCTACTACTCCTACTGCTATCGGACAAGCTTCCAAATTTGCAAATCCATCGTCATTATTTGGATGCCATTTTTTAAATTCAGACAAAGTTTGTGGGGAAACTTCCCTCTGCTCACACCTGCAAATGTCACCAACAACTTGTCTGCTGGTTTCCACATGAATCATAAGGATTGGTGAGCCCCCCCTCCGCCATTAGCTGTACGCCTCTATCTTATCCCAATTTATATATTCTTCATTTTTGATTTTTGATTTTTGATTTTCATATGTAATTTGCATCACAAACACCATTGACTATCCGTGCTTCTATCTGTCCTTTTTTTGCATCGAGGGACTTCTTCAATTTAAGTATGCTTGTGTGAACATTTAATCAAGAAAAGAGAACATTGGGTTGTTGATTCTTTCTTGTTACTTTCAAACAACTGAGAAGCAGGTGGTTGGGTCTTCTGTGCTTCTTCCACCACAAAAGAATTGGAATTCTGGGTCATTGTCTCAGTTGATGAATCAGGTGATGTAGGAATTCAAGGCTTGTTCTTGATATTCTTTGATTCTTTTGTCGGGTGTTGTTTGATTTCACTTGTGTTGTTGCCTTGAAGCTTTCGTTTTTGGTGTGATTGAATTGGTTTCAGTATGGGATTCGGCAAATATGGATTGTTTATATGGGTTATGTCCACCATGTGTTTGATAAAATTCTCCTTACAGTTTGATCCTATAGATAACTATCTGGTAGATTGTGGATCTCCCAAAAATAGTTCAGTAGGCGATAGGGATTTCCTAGCAGATACTTCTGATCATCATTTTCTTTCAGACCCAGAACAAGCTTCTGTAAGTACTGCAAATTCTCAACCTATTTCATCCACCTATGGATCTTCATTATACACAACTGCTAGAGTTTTCAACAGAACATCCAACTATACTTTTCCAGTTAATCAACACGGCCGTCACTTCATTCGTCTCCATTTCTTTCCTTTTGCTTTAGACGGTGAAACCTACAATCTGAGTACTGCAAGATTCTCTGTATCTGCTCATGGTTTTACTCTCTTGAGAGATTTCCAACCTGATACTACTCCTGCTGTTATAGAATTCTCTTTGAACATCACTTCTGATAGATTGGTTATCACTTTTGTTCCTTCTGCCAATTCGTTTGCCTTCCTAAATGCTTTAGAAGTTGTTTCTCACCCAGATGACCTCATCCCTGCCACTGCTCTAACCGTCGAACTCCCAAGAAACCATCACAATCTGATGACACAGGCACTAGAGACCGTGGCTAGGGTGAATATGGGTAACCAAACAGTTTCACCTGAAAATGATACCTTATGGCGATTTTGGAATTCTGATGGTCATTTTATCACACAAAACAATTTTGTTAAGTATGTCAAAAATATAAGTTCCGTGAAATATACAGCAGGCGGTCCAACCCGTGATATTGCTCCCTTATCTGTGTATGGGACTGCTACTAAACTAGATACCGAGTTTAGTCCTGGTGCACTTCTCAATATGACGTGGACGTTTAATGTTGATCCCGAGTTTTCCTACTTGGTCCGATTTCACTTCTGTGATATAATTGAGCATCCACCGTCCCAATTGGTCCTCAATATTTACCTAAACTCCATGTCAGTTGCTAAGGATCTTAATCTTGGTGAACGGATGTCAAATGTCTGGGGTGCTCCTTACTACTTAGATGCTGTCACTAGGTTAAGTGGGAAAAACATGCTAAATGTAAGTATCGGCACTAGCCTTGCACTCGGGGCGTACCCTGAAAGTATTCTTAATGGGCTGGAGATCATGAAAATAAGCAATTCTAAGGGGAATCTTTATGAAGTCGACACAGGAACAAAGTCTTCGGCTTCACGATCAAAGCAGAAAGTTTGGGTCGTAGCCGCGTTGGCTGGTGGAGCAGTGTTCATTGTGGTTGTTTTGGGTTGCTTGTTCTTCATAATAAGAAGAAGAAATAGAAGAAAGTCATTGATTGTGAAGCAGTCTATGCAACAAAGCTTGAGCCCCAATATGGATACCGATGGAAATGCCATGTTTTCAAGATCAAAGATTGGATACCGATTTCCTTTAATAGCAGTTCATGAGGCTACCGATAAGTTCAGTGAAAGCCTGGTGATTGGAATCGGTGGTTTTGGGAAAGTTTACAAAGGAGTACTTTCCGATGGTACACAAGTGGCAGTAAAAAGAGGCGCCCCACAATCTCATCAAGGTTTAGCCGAGTTTCAGACAGAAGTCGAAATGCTATCCCAATTCCGTCACCGCCATTTGGTATCTTTGATAGGGTATTGTGATGAACGCAATGAGATGATCATTATATACGAGTACATGGAAAACGGGACCCTGAAGAACCATCTGTACGGTTCAGATCTCCCTAAACTGAACTGGAGACAGAGGCTCGAGATCTGCATTGGTTCTGCTAGAGGACTTCACTATCTCCACACCAGTTCTTCAAAAGCAATCATTCATCGGGATGTCAAATCTGCAAACATATTACTTGATGAGAATATGATGGCTAAAGTCGCCGACTTCGGGCTCTCCAAGAACGGGCCAGAGCTTGATCAGACTCACGTTAGCACCGCAGTCAAAGGAAGTTTCGGTTATCTTGATCCTGAATACATGACACGGCAACAATTGACCGAGAAATCCGATGTTTACTCTTTCGGTGTCGTAATGTTTGAAATTCTGTGCGGCAGGCCCGTTATCGATCCGTCTCGGCCACGGGGAATGGTGAATTTGGTCGAGTGGGTACGAGAGTGGCGGAAAAGAGGCGAATTGGAGAAAGTTTTCGACCCTTTTCTAGTGGGAAAGATGAAAACTGAGTCTTTGGAGAAGTTCGTGGAGATCGCAGAGAAATGCTTAGCGGAACAAAGTGTCGATCGACCAACGATGGGAGACGTGTTATGGAATCTGGAGTTTGCGCTTCAACTCGAAGGAATCGAAGTAAAAAGGCGGGAAACGGAGAATGATTCGTCGACGGGTGAGTTGGAGAGTGGTGCTGGTGAGGGAAGTGTTGGTGATTTTGTTGGTGTTTCAATGAGTAGAGTGTTTTCAGAGATGGTGAAAGGTGAAAAACATGAAATGAGGTAAACAAATGACACCAAGAAGCATTCCAGATTGTAACTACAGATATTTGATCACTGATTTGAAGGTGGTATTGTGACTTATATATATATATATCACTTGGTGTATTCAAGCATTTGTTGCTGTAAACCTTTTTTTTTAAATGCAAAAATATTTTTAATTCAGGCTAAAATTGTAATTTGAGCATTAATTAAGGGTGTTTGAGATTGTTTATTTGAAACAACTTATTCTTTTCTAAAAAAGTACTTATCAACTTATTATAAGTTAGAAGAGTTTAACTTCTTCAAAAAAAAATTATTACCGGTTTGGCATTGGTATAAGTTGTTCATCCAAACATTCAAAAGTGCTTATTACCAGTATGACATCAGAATAAGTCAATAAGTCTTTTTTATAATATATGGTCAATGTTTAAAGCTTACGTTTTATAATAGCACCTCTAAAACCGAATTTTTTTAGGGTTTTGGTATGAAATATTGTTTATTGATGCATATTACTTAAAATTCAATACTATAAGTAATTGTGCGTAAATACAACTTATTAAAGCTTCATGTTTGAATCCGGATAACTAATTTCAGATAAACATAATCAAATTGAGGATAAACATTTTGTTCTAAATATAAAAAAACTAAAATATAATTAGGATAATCATTAAGTTCTAAAAAATATTTAATTATTATTTTTATAAAAAAATTATATTATTAAACCAAAAATAAAAAAATAATTAAAAAAATACACAAAAAACAAGAAATTTTAAATAGTTAGTCTGGTATTAATACCATAATTTTTATTTTTTATGATTTCTTCATATTTATATTTTATTCAAAAATAAAAACATTATTGTTTTCTCAAAACCAAATAAAACCGTATTATAACATCGACTAAGACAAAAAAAGCACGAAACACTAAAATTGCGATGTATCTTGCTGGATTATGCGAGTATCATTCTAGTCCCTCATAATAGGGGTGTTCGCGATCCGGTTGGGTGGTTTAAACCCCAAACCACAATGGCAGTGTAGAAATTTTTTCAAATTGCACGATTTCGCAGCAAGTGGTTAAACGGTCAAATCGGACCACAAAAAAAAGGGTCTAGCTTGACTGCTTAGGTAGTTTGGGGTTTAAACTAAAAAAAACATAACATCTATATCAAACTGAAAGTTCTACCAATATAACATAGTTAAAAATAGGATACCGAATTATAGAAGATACATCTATTTCTTTAAATAAAAAAACATTGAGCAGGTTGAAAAATTGATGAACAAATCTACTAATAATAGTTGGAATTTTGAACATTATTGAGCTACTCGAATGACGAATTGGATTTAGATGACGTGATTAAATGAGAAAAGAAAACTAAAAACATAATGGCATGGACAAACTTTTTTTTAACCGTGCCATCAAGTTGAGCTTTTAACATGAAAACTAAATATAATTAATATATATGCATATTTTGGCGGTCGGTTTGGTCCAGACCGCTCAAAAAAATGTTCAAACCGCAGGCCAGGTCAGACCAAGCGGTTTGGCTTTTTTTCAGACCGAACCGGACTGTTAGACCGCTAAAACCATAAAAAACGATTCGTTTTGAGTTAGGTTGTTCAAATGTTTCAACCCGATCAACTCAACCCATTAACACCTCTAACTTGGAGTAGTGTTTCAATAAGCTCCAAAAAGGTTTTTGTTACTTTCTTCCAATTATGCCTATGATTAATATTCATTTTTAATTTTTAATTATAAATTATCAATAAATATTAATTATAAATTATTAGTTAGTATCAATTACTAATTATTGTTAGTTTTTAATTATTAATTAATTTTAATTGTAAACTATTCATTATTATTAATTATTTAGAATTATTATTAGTCTTATCAATTATTCTTAATATTATTATTATTACCTTTATTCAATATATTTTGTCATAAAGAAAAATACAACAATTTTAAAAATGTTTTTATAAGTTATATAAAAATTAAACCTATATTTCTTTGTCTCATAAATGATAAAATTTTGATAAATATCTTCATAAAATATTTATTTTAATTATAATTTCAATATATTTTAGTAAATTTATTAGAAATATTTTTATTTGGTTATACAATTCCAAAATTTATGATATTATATGTAAATTAAATTTTAAATTTTATATCTAATTTGTATTAGTTAACATATTATATTGTCTATTATTGTCTTAAATATTTTATGACATGTTAAAATTGTCCATTTTTTTAAAATATATTTTTTGATCAGTTTGCATGCAACTAGCTTATCAGTTAATTTTTGTGAAATGTAATTATTTTATCAAGAAGGAGAATTTAATTATAAAAATAAAACACTATTTTTTAAGTCTACAATGTTTTAACTACAAGGAAACTCTAATTATAAAAATTGTACTAAAAGATCATATTTAATTTGATATTAATATTATTATATTTTTTTAATTGATACAATGAAATATTACAAATGATTTAACTTGTGTGTTGTTTCACAACATGAAAAACACTACGTTATCTCACATTAATGGAGATGTTTCAATGTTTAACAACACATTAATGTTGTTTCACATTAGTGACGTCGTTTCAACGATGAATAACACATTAATATGAACGTATGTGTTGTTTCATAGTGTAAAACAACATTTGTGTTAACACGTATATTCACTATGTTTTAACCCATCAATGTTGTGTTGTTTCACACCCTTGTGTACCAAAATGTTCATTATAGCGTTCCACAACGTGAAACATCACTTCATAAAATAAAACAATATTTTGGAATGAGAATACATATGTTCATTACGTTATTTAACATAAGCGGTGTTGTATTGTTTCATTTTAGTTTTAACTTATGCATTGTTCACTGTGTGAAACAATACTACGTTACTTCATTGTTAAGTTTATGTATTGTTTCACAATATAAAGCAACGTAATATATTAAAACCATTATGTTTTGTAATGTATGTATGTGTGTGTGTGTGTGTTAAAGTGTCTCCATATACCACAAGTTATGTTCACATGAATCATTCATAAAGTTATATCACAGATTGATAGGGATGCTATACATAAATTCACACATAAACCTTACGAAAGCTAAAGACTTAGAAATATAGACATTTAGACTTAGAAAGTTGGTTGTGCTATTTATTATGGATTAATGATGATATGTGTCACGTCTATTTACTTCTGAAGCAGGTTGTTGTAGAAAGATCTTCGCGTTTGAATATAATCATCATTTGGCACTACCTATGTGTGTGTGTTTGTATATTAGATGGGAACTGAAAAACAAGAAATGATCCTTACGTGCAATTCATCATTTCATCAAACGAAGTTTGAGCTTCCTTAAAGGATTGAGTAGGGGTGTTAGTTTCAAATTGTTGATTATATTGCCTCACAAGTTTTATTAAGTTGAAAAACAAGGGCACAAATGTTCCACAACCTTCGCGTTTGAATATAATCTTACAACTATGAGCAGAGTACATTGCATTGTTCTCATCATCTGGCACTACCTATAGTTGGGCATGATCCCGTAAGGTAATCGACTAATGCTATGATTTCATGAGGTAAAAAACGTTGTTTTGATCTACTTACAGGTTCCACAACTCTAGATATGTTGTTCCCGTAAATTTTTTATTACGCAGGTAAAGCTACAGGAAAAAATATGATGTATATATAATATAAACACGTCAAGATGAATGGAGAAAATCTAAATAAAAAAATGCTTCTATATTTTTTTTAACAAACAAAATCCCATGTATGACCATCAAACACAAGCTTTTGGTTTTAATCAATTGAAATGGATCGATTATTAAATATTATAAAATTCATAGATTTTTTTTTCATCATCTGAATTGTTCTTTCTTCTAATTCAGAAACATTTTGGCTCATCCCTCCCCCTCTGCCTCTGTAAGATGCTGAGAATCGTGTCTCTATATACGGATGTGAAACCTCCACAGAGAAAAAGCTCCTTGGTTATCGACGGCCATACACCCAGAAGAAAGGATGCCTAAGTCAAGGCACCACCACGACACCGATTCCCCTACTTCTGGTTCCGACGAACGAGGATTCTTGAATAGTCTCCTCCATCCCCTTCTCCTCCACCACCACCTCCCTCCACCAACACCACCTCCCTCCACCACTAGCGAAGGATTCTTGAATAGTCTCCTCCACCAGCACCACCACCGGTAGCAGCAGCAGCACCACCTCATCCACCACCACCATCACCACCTCCACCATCACCAACACACGACCATCACCAACACCTCCTCCTCTAGCACCTCCAGCACCACGACAACCACCACCACGACCACCTTCACTTCCTCTAGCACCTCCACCTCCTCCTCAACCAGCATAAGCGAACGAGGATTATTGAATAGTATCTTCCTCCTTTACCACCCCCACCTCCACCCCCA